ATACTATTTGCAGCAGATAAGTCGTTAGATCCCTATTGTCATATTTTATCTCTCTTTTATTCATTTCTTTTAGGTTTCCCTTTTAGCCTGATTTTGGATGAGAGGCATCTAACAGACCTATCATGAGGGAAAAAAATGTACGAGTCTTATCAACAACAAAAATATATCAATCAACATCAAAAGTTTAAGAATATATGATAAGTCATTTTACTACACTCGAGGAAGAGCTTTGAGAAAACAATGAGAAAATGTAACAAGGTCAAGAAAAAATATTAACTTTTACGATGACATAAACGATCAGTCGAAGCAAGAATAATAGTCATGGTCTTTCCTTAAAGTCTGTTTAAATTTGGTCTATTTATTGACTTGTTGGTTAGACTATTTTTTTTGATATTTAAAGTTTAGATATGATGATGTCTTAGACTACTTTTCCTTTATTTATTACTAGTTTATTTCGTACCTTTCCATATTCTAACCATTATAAAAACTATTTGGGGACTCAAATATATTCTCAAGGTCTTTTATTTTAAATTGATTATTACTATTAAAAGTTCATATCAAGGATTGATATTTTTTCATAGTAAACAAATATTATAGACCGAATAAGATAGATTTAGGGACTAATATTCAGTTCCAAATGGATACTCACATAATATAATATAACATGACCAAACATTACTTACCGCCACTTGGTTTGTTACGTTTAATATGTGCCCATACATTACTTAATAATTATTAACCACACATAATATAATATAACATAACCATAAATTACTTACAACCACTTGATTTGTTACGTTTAATATGTGGTCAAACGATACATATGGGCACACGAACAATTAATAAAAACGTCACCATAAAATACTTACAATCACATCTTTTGTTATTTTATCATGAAAATACTAATTATTGACCACAAATAATAAAATATAACATGACCATAAATTACTTACTGCCACTTGATTTGTCATGTTTATTATATGTAGCTAAATGATACATATGTCCATACAGACAATTCATGTAACCACATGTATTACCTTTAGCCACATTAGAATCCACTGCACATTATTTCAGATAAAATAAACAAAAGTACATGGCAGATGGTCATATTTGGCCACATTAGTCAAATGAGGCTAAATGATACATTTGGACACATACTCTATTAAAAAAATACCACCATAAAATGCTTACAACCACATAGTTTGTCACATTTATTATATGTGGCTAAATGATACATATGGTCATACAAACTATCCGTGTGACCATATGTATTACCTTTCGCCACATTAGAATCTATTGTATATGTTTTCCGATAAAACGAACACAAATATGTGGCATATGGTCACATTTGGCCACATTATTCAATTGACACTAAACCATACATTTGGACACATGCACTCATAATATGTTTATAGCCACATGGGTTGTCACATTTTTTATATGTGGCTAAATGATACATATGGTCATACAATTCATGTTACCATAGGTATTACTGTTAGACACATTAGATTTCTATATGTGTCACTAAATGATACATATGGTCATACAAACAATTCATGTGAGCAAACATATTACATTTTCGCCACATTATATTTCTATATGTAACAACATATATAATAATGATCTCATCGATAACCATTATAATTTTTAAATGTGGCGAAAATAATCCAGGATTTTAACAATGATAATTTGCCATGCTTTTTAACAAAATCGTCACATTTTTTCTAAAATGTGGGAAAGCGATTTTTAAAAAGTGTGGTCATAAGTCATATTTGTTGTAGTGTTTAGGTTCCAACTATTGAATGTCACTTATGGTTTTTAAGCTGAAGGTTTTAATTGGTTAATCTATTTTATAAATCAAAAATATATCTATAATTTTTGGGACGTTACACTACTAGCTTTAACATGTACTCAAGACTAATATGGATTTCTAGAAAGACAACACTCTTTGACTTTCTCATGGAAGAACAGATTCCTTGCTATGCAATGCTTGTCTATAAAGAGATTTATCAAGCTTACACACTTTGTTTGGATACTTTGTATGTTTAAATCCTTTTAGGATGTGTCACACACCCCTCAAAGGTTTCATGTTAAGGAAAGTCGTTTAAACATCCACTTTACCGCATCTTATAATCAAAGAAGGAAACAATGGTAACAAATAACCAAATAGGTCATTTCTCAGCTATTGGTGAGAATGTTTCCACATAATCAATCTCGTGAGTCTGAGTGAAAATCTTTTCCACCAAACTAGCTTTAAATGTGTGTACATTCATATCCATGTTAGTCTTCAAATTGAAGATCTAATCACAACCCACTGTCATAAGACTAGGCTTTAGTTCAACCAATCTCAAACTTGGTTATCCTTCATGGATTGAATTTCTCTATCCTTCGACTTTTTTCAGTGGTAGCCCTAAGGCCCACCATTGATTCCTAGTAGTTATTAGCCTTATCCAAATTGATCAATGTTTTATCACTAATCAATGTATCACCTTCCATAGTTATATGAAACTCATAAAACTTGGTAGGTACTCTGACTCTACTAAAAGAAATGAAGAAAAGAGAGATAAAATATGACAATATCGATCCATGGACTTATCTGTTGCAAATAGTATTTGAGCAACTATATTCATTGTTGAGAGTATATCAACTACAAGCATTGCTTGACAACTTCTCCTTGTAAAATTTGAAGCACCACTGGAATATAACCAACATATCAAAGTCTAAGCATGATGTGAGTAGCAAATTCAACTTCTCTAAATTCATCATGTTAACCATTTTGATTTTTATAGAATTTAGAACTTCAAACGCAAACAAAGGAAAAACAAGATTGACAAAAATATAGTTAACTGGTAACTACTTTTAAAAAAAAGTTTTGAGTCTCTTTTAATTCAACATCCAATTAATTGTTATATATATATATATATATATATATATATATATATATATATATATATATATATATATATATATATAGTAAACATATCAAATACATATAAATATAAGAAGAAAACCTATTACTTTTAAGTTGGATACCATTACTTTTAGTGGGCTGATTTTTTTTTTTAGAATTTTTTTCTCATCCCTGGAAACAATTGGTTTGTCATACAGAAAGGGGTCACCAGTTGAATAACAAACAGAACACGAGATTCTGTTTTTTATTCAACTGGTGGCCCTTTTTTGTATGATAGACCAGTTCTTTCCAAGGATGAGAATATTTTTTTTAAAATCAGGCCACTAAAAGTATTAGCATCCAAGTTAGAAGTAATAGGTTTGCTTCTTATATTTACATGTATTTGATATATATATATATATATATATATATATATATATATATATATATATATAATAATTAATTGGAAGTTGAATTAAAAGAGACTCAAAATTAAAAATTAAAAATTAAAAATTAAAAAAAAGTAGTTACCGTTTAACTATATTTTTGTCAATATTGTTTTTCCTTTGTTTGCTTTTGAAGTTGTAAATTCTATAAACATCAAAATGGTTAATAGGATGAATTTAGAGAAGTTGAATTTTCTACTCACATTACGCTTAGACTTTGATATGTTGGTTACATTTCAGTGGTGCTTCAAATTTTATGAGGAGAAATTGTCAAACAATGCTTGTAGTTGATATACTCTCAACAATGAATATAGTTGCTCAAATACTATTTGCAGTAGATAAGTCATTAGATCCCTATTGTCATAGTTTATCTCTCTTTTATTCATTTCTTTTAGGTTTCCCTTTTAATCTGATTTTGATTGAATTGACTCTACTAAATATGTGAAGATGATGAGAATTAAACTCTAGATCGATTAGATCTTTCACGGCTATGATTATGGAAATTGAACAAGACAAAAACAGTAAGAGAATGAACACAGAATGGAATCAACTGTATGCTTATGATTCAAATAAAGTCATGCCTCAGCAGAGCTCGATGAAGAACTTCCGTTGTAGAGGCAAGCTAGGGTTTACAAAACCCAGAGAAATAATAATAAAAGCGATAACTTCTAAGACTGCATGCATGCAGCTTATATACTAAACCCTAGAACAAAAACATGCACAGTTGGATAGGCCCAATACCGGCAATCAAAACTGGGCTAAGGACCGAGCCCATGATGCAATCTAATAATCCCAACAATCTCCCCCTTTGCGTCAAATGAGGCGAGAGATCATTTCTTTTGCGTTGGCTTCACTGTCTTTATTACTTTGAACAGACGAGGAATTATTGCGAGAAGTGTCTGCTGAAACTGGATATACCACCTCATCATGTCAGTGAACAACTTCTTGTCAGCAACACTATTCTGATCACACCTCTAAATGATCTCCAAGATATGCTCCAGGCAAGACGTTGAGAAGAGGTGTTTGTCAACGAGAGCAAACAGGCATTTCTGACCTTCACCTCTGATGAACATAACAGTGTGGTACTTTGAATCTATCTTCCCCTTGACCATAGTGTTGACATTGCCTGCTCTGCCCATAGTCTTGATTGTGGTTCGCTTGTGAATGGCAGAGGCAATCTCCTGGTCCATCTTCGCTACCTCGTGAATGTAGCATACAAGCATACGGTTGTCATGATCAATTATTGGCTGGTACTCCTGAGGATTTGACAAAAGAATATTGTTGAGGAGTATCCAGTCATGGGGATTAAGGTTCGGTAGATCAGCAAGGCTGAAGTTGTGGACTGAGCCTTCGGTTCCTCGAGTCACCTTGAATTTGACATTAATAAACTTCCCCGCTGAGTAGGGCTTCAGAACCTTGATAGTAGTAATTTTCTTGGAACTCCAGGTCAAGTACTGGGGTTGAGCAAACTCCAAATAAAACTCTAGCAGATCCCTATCTACCTTCGGGTCTGGGGAAGGAATAGCAGCAGTCAAATTGAAGCAATGGAAGATAAATGCCCTTCGTGTGATTGGCATATCGAACTGTTCATCCTTAGAGTTCTCGAGTCCAAAGGAAATTACTGGCTCAAGCCAGAGAATGCTTGGCTCATCGATTGCGCATCTTTAAAGTGAATCTATAGTCCAGACAGGAAACATGGACTTTTTCTTCTCTAGGAGCTCTGCCTCCTTTTGTTTCTGCTCGAGCTCAGCTTTTTGTTTCTTGTAGCTTTCTTCCATTTCCTTTTCAGAGGGCTTTACCTTCTGAAAGGGATTCTTAGAATTCTCCACATAGACATCATCCTCATTGTCTGTGTCATCCTCGCCAATTTTCTTCTTCTTTTTCTCCTTGTTACTGACCGAAGCTTCATTACCCTTCGGTTCAGTAGATGGTTTCGGTCCAGAAGGAGGTTGAGTTGTCACCTTCTCTCCCCATTGTTTTGGCTGGACCCCAGACACCGGAACACCCTCAATACGACTAAGGATATCCAATGCTGGTTTGAGCTTGTCTGCCAGATGGCGCCTGATGGTTATGGTGATGATAGGATCGTGAGCCTCAAGGAGATGAAGGAGGATGGAATGAACATCAGCAGCAGAACTCCGAATGACCTCCCTTTCTGACTTTAGGTCATTAACCTCAGTAGTAGCAGTACGCAGCTTGTAGTTTTTCATTTTCAGCTGTGAGGTGCGCCTGTCTAGCTCATCCATAATACGATTCTCTACAGCTAACTCAGCCTCCAGTTGATTCAATCGGTCATTGACGTTAGCATGTAGAGTTTCGTTGGCTGCTTCAATGGCCAGGCGTGCAGCTTCAAGGTTGGAACGTTCAGATTGAAGAGATTGTTGAAGGTTCTCCACTGAAGCATTGACGGTTTGAGCGTTCTTTGCAGCAGCAGCCTACAAGGAATCTAAAAACAGGTGAGCTTCAAAAACTAGTTTATCGACTTTTACAGTCGCTTCCTTGCACTCCTTAGTAGAAGCATCAACAGCAAGAGAGGCTTGTTGACACTGTGAAGTAGAGGCTTCAATTGCTTTAGCTGCAGTAGAGAGTGTGGCACTGTGTTCAGTAACAACAGAGGAGAACAAGGCCTTCAATGCAGCTTCAGAGTAAGCTCCGGAGAAAGAGGATGAGAGCAGTTGATCAAGATTTTCATTTACTGCCTTGAGATGACGCTTTGTAATAGGCTCATCGTCATCATCATCACTCTACACACGGTAAGGACTGAAATATGTGGAATCAAATTCCAAGTCCTCGCCGTCAAGAATAGGAGTTGTTTCTGTGGATTGAGTGGGAGATAAGGGTTTTGAAGTAGCTGGAGGTTCGGTTGTGACAGGTGGTTCGGTTGTTACTGGTGGATTGGGAGCAGTAAAGTGAGCTCCTATGGTAGTAGTGGTAGTAGTAGTATCTGTGAAAATGGGAGTAGGGATGGGAATTGTAGTGAATGGTTGAGTGGTTGGAATGGGAAATATGGGAGGGATGGATACTGGGATGGCTACAGGTGGAGGTGAAGGAGGGTGAGAGCGAACTGGAATTTCTAGGGTAGGGGAGCGAGGCAGAGTATCACCTCGGCCTGAAGCCTCATCATCAGAGCTTTCGCTCTCAGATTCTGAAGGAGAAGCGTTCTTATGTTTAGGAGGAACATACTCTGAATCTAAATCACTTGAGGATTGTAGAATAAGCCTCCTAGCGGGCTTCTTCTGTTTCTTCGGTTGAGCCTGTGATGTTGCAGCCTTGTTAGACTTTCGCTTCTTGGGGGTTTTCCCCTTGGTTGGTTTAGAGACAGGTCCATCCTTCTGAGTATCAGTCTTCATACCCCTTTTAGCTGGCTTGTCAGCCTCTTCAATGGAGCGAACTATGGTTGGCGTAAGCTCCCTTGGTCCTGATGATGGACGCTTCATTGTTAGAGAACATTACTCGACACAGAGATACGACCGAGCATTGCTTCAGGAATGGATCCAATAAAGGAGTACTTGGTTGGATCTGTGACAATGATTTTGGTAGTGTGAAAGGTAGCAATGGATGAGAGAAGAGAATCTGCCATTATTGGAACACGAAGGTGGTCCCCAGTTGGTGATGATCGACCAAAATCGCCCACATGAGATCTTAGAGTGCCTGGATGAAGAGACCAAGCTTTGAGCCAACTGCTGCCAGATAATAGACCCATAATCTAAGTCGATCCCATGGTACAACCCATACAGCACAGTCATAAAATACTTGCTCGCACCATCTGAGCCAGCGCTTCGATCAAAAAGTCCCTTGAACAGCAACGTGAAAAGGCCATTCCATTGAGGAGGAAGGCAGGACTTCTTGAACTTTGTGATTGTGGTGAGGGTTTCGGTATACCCCATCTGATAAAACATGGAAAACAATTGACCAGTGGTGATGGATTCAGGATTTACCAGAGATTGTTCTTGAGAAAGACCAATTAGGGCACATAAGTGATGCTTGGAGATAGAGGTCTTCTCATCGTGGATTTCGAAGTGAATCCTTTCATTAACCTTGTCGTAGTAGGTAGTAGAGTAGACAAGGGAAAGGCAAGACATTGGTATGACTTCGACTTTAGGCAGCGCTTCGACGAGAGGTAAGTATTTGAGACACTCAACAACCTATAGCATATATGGATCATAGATAAACGGAGTGAGATCGATGATTAGGTTCTGTTGGGGTTTGATTGTGAGAAGTGGTTGACGAACGGAAGTATCATGAACGGATGAAGAGTCGGCCATTGTAGTAGCTTTGAGAAGATGATGAATAGTTGCAAAAATCTCCTGCGTTCTTTGAGAGAGAATGGTAAGTGGTAAAAGTTGAGAGAGTACCGGTCCAATTCCTTTTATACGTACAAGGAAGAGAGGGAAAAATCCGGTTGAGATCTTGGATCATCTCAAAAATAGCGCCTGACTTGATGGATGAACAGTTGGCATGCCGAAGATGACACAGGAAAGAGAAAGGACGTTCCCTTTTTACATGCCATTCCATAAAATTCACTTTTTCAAATCACCAAACCGTTTGGATAACCACTGAGTCAGCTTTCACTTTATTCCAATCGTCATTCCAAAATACGTTTGAATCTCCGTTGCCTATAATGCTTTATTAAATAGCCATAAACGAACTTGAGTGTGGAAAATTAAAAAATTTCGTGCATAGGGTATAAAAGATAAAGAAATAAAGCAAAATTTATGGGATGATCTGTGATGCCTTAAGTAGACATAAAACTATGGATTTTGGGCATAAATCACTTCCTTCAAAGTCAAGAGAGAAATTAAAGTGCTTACTTGGTTTCCCATTAAATAACGATCAATAACTTGTTGAGAAGTATTGAAAGACATCTTTTGAAGGTTAGAAAGGGTGGCTTTTGCTTCAATTCATAATTTCGATACTTGACATAAGATCGAAACTGCAATGAAGTACTTGTGAGATCATTGTGATCTGTTGAACAAGTAGGTAGGATAAATTTTATAGTAACAAAAGGAAGTAAGGAAATCTCAAAAAAAAAATAAACTGGATCTTTAGAGTAAGAGAAGCCTTGGTTTAAGACAAACTCATAAAGATCACTCAAAAGAAAAAAGATATTTCATTAGGTAACAAGTAAGATCTTGAATATTAGAATTCACCGTCAATTCATTAGTGGTGTTGAAATTTGGGTTTCACTTAGTACATAGTGGCATGAAACTAAGATCATGAACGTAGATATTGTATAACCATAAACCTCAGTGGTTAATATTGAGAGTCTCAGGGGTTATATTGGTGAAACGAATTATAATGGAGAAAGGTGATGGAGATGGTATAAGAGGCGAATGTACCTCTACTTTAAAGAAAAGAAGAACCAAGCAGAAAACTCTAAACTCAATTTGAGTAGAGTAAGGTAGCTCATGATTAGAGTGAATTTGACAGTCTGGATTGGGAAAACATGATTGGTATATATCATGTTATTAAGCCTTCACTCAAAAATCTTTCGAGGCTTTAGTCAACATACAGAAGCATGCTTCTAGGGACTCCTAACTAATAAAACCATTTACCTGCCTTAGCTTTGCCATCGAGAATCACACATAGACAAAAATAAAAACTTTAGATATATGAAAAAATAAATAAATAAATAAAATAAAGTAAAAATTATTTTTGAATTTTGTGAGAATTGACCAATTGAACGAAAGAGAAAAATATTTTTGGATTTCATAAGTATTTTTATGAGAATAAAAGAGAAAAATATTTTTGGGATTTTATAAGTAGAAAAAGAAGTAATGAAAAAGTGTACAAAAGAATACAGTTAAAATGCCTTGTTAAGAAAAAGAAGCAAACGAGTTCAGAAGGACTGAACCCAAAATAGACCGAACGTTTGGTTCATGGTCAAACTTCACCCGAAATAGACCGAACCCGAAATAGACCGAACGTTCGGTTCATTTCGGTTCGCTCTATTTCGCTTGTTACCTTTATGGAAGCGAAGGCGATTTTGGTACAGATTCAGCTTGCATCATTCCTAGGCCTTGTAGAATCTTATTGAAGCTCGCTTCAGGTAAGGCCTTCGTGAATATATCTGCCAGTTGATCAGTCGTTCTGACGAAGTGAATTTCTACGTTACCATCTTCGACGTGATCCTTGATGAAGTGGTACCTCAGTGCTATATGATTAGTCTTCGAGTGTTGCACTGGGTTGTGAAAAATCCTAATTGCGCTTTCAGAGTCGCAATATAGTGCGATTTTCTTCATGTTTAGCCCATAATCCCTAAGTTGACTTTTATCCATACGACTTGAGATGTGCATGATGCTGCAGCAATGTATTCAGCATCTGCAGTGGATAGCGAAACACAGCTTTTACGATCTAGTCCACAGCCACCTAAGTCAGCATCTGAGAATGCTTGAACAAAGAATCCTGAATTGGCTGGATACCACAGACCGAGAGAGGAGGTTCGCTTCAGATAGCGAAAGATGTTTTTCACGGCTTGTAGATGAGGTTCACGTGGGTTGGCTTGAAATCGTGCACAGTTACAGAGTGAGAACATGATGTCAGGTCTATTGGTTGTAAGATACATCAGAGACCCAATCATTTGCTGATAGAGCGTCATATCAGTTGCTGGTTTCTCCAATGAGGGTGTAAGCTTAGTCCCAAAGGCCATAGGCACTTTCACTTTGGAGTCTCCCATCATCCCAAATTTAGCTAATAGAGTCTTGGTGTATGCCTCCTGATTAATAAAAATGCCTTCGGGTCCCTGTCTAATGTTCAATCCAAGAAAAAAGTTAATTGGACCCATTAAGCTAATCTCAAATTTAGTTTCCATCAACTTCCTGAATTCAACTGTTAAGCTAGGATTCGTGGAGCCAAAGATGATGGCATCAACATAAATTTGGACTATCATAAGGTGGTTACCTTCTCGCTTACGAAAGAAGGTTGGGTCAACCGGACCTTGTTTGAATTTGGACATATTTAAGAAACGAGTGAGAGTTTCATACCATGCTCTAGGAGCTTGTTTTAAGCCATATACAGCTTTGTCAAGGACATAACAATGATCTGGATACTTCTCGTTCACGAAGCCTGGCGGTTGCTCAACATATACAGTTTCTTCAAGTTCCCCGTTGAGGAAGGCACATTTGGCGTCCATCTGATAGAGTTAAAAGTTCTTGTGAGCTGCATAGGCAAGAAAGATACGAACAGACTCTAATCTTGCAACTGGAGCGAAGGTCTCTTCACAATTGATTCCCTCTTCCTGACAGTATCCTTTGACCACCAGTCTTGCTTTGTTACGAATGACATTCCCCTCCTTATCCATCTTGTTTCTGAATACCCATTTGAGACCGACAACCGAAGCATCCTTTGGAGTTGGGATAAGGCGCCATACTTTGTTTCTTTCAAACTCATTTAACTCATCTTGCATGGCTTGAACCCAGTCTGAATGATCAAGTGCTGAGTTAACAGTCTTCGGTTCAACTTTGGAAACAAATGAGTTGAACATGCAAAACTCTACTTGAGAAAAGATTGCATCTTGTTTCGCTTTGATTTGAGATCGAGTTAACACTTTTTCTAAAGATTCCTCGATAATTTGACTTTTAGGGTGATCTTTGGTCCATTTGATAAGAGGGGGGTAATTTGGATCATAAGTGGGATCCAATTCGGCATTTATTTCTTCTTCTAACTCAGACATAATGTCATCATCATTGACGTTGGTGCTCTCCCTCTCGAAGAATGACTCCTGTTCAGGACCAGTATTGGTATTCCCTTCTTTGATTGGAATTTCAGTAGAGCTTGAAGAATGAGACGATGAGTTCTCCCCTTGGAACGATGAACCATGATCATCATGAGGAGTTGAACCCTCCCCCTGGACATTAGGACGGTCACATGAAGGTTCGTTTGCTTCTGGCCTTTCGGTTTCTTTGGATTGATCAGCAGCCATCTTTTGAGCAGCGTCATCGATAACTTGTTTTAAATTATCAACTTTGTTGTCTTTTGCAGTTGATTCAGAGTCACTCGCTTTTTGAGGCTCATCAAACAGAAGCATGTATTGCTCAAAAAGATTCGAGATAGAGATCGTAACTTGACCATTCTTTCGAAATATCTCTTGCGTTGCACCTTCTGTTGATTTCATCTTCTTAACATAACTATCGTAAAATGTGACATAGTATGTTTCTTCAATCTTCTTTGAGTGCTTATTGAGAACTCTATACGCCTTGGAGTTCAAGGAGTAGCCAAAGAAAATTCCTTCATCAGCCTTAGCATCAAACTTATTTCGATTCTCTCTTGAGTTGAAGATGAAGCATCTTGAACCGAACACATGAAAGAATTTCACATTTGGTTTACGATTATTCAAAATCTCGTAAGGTGTAATGTAGAATCGCTTGTTCAAATATGATCTATTTTGAGTATAACATGTAGTGGCAATTGCATCAGCCCAGAAATATAAAGGTAAGGA